TGGTATTTGGAATCGAAATACATAACGAAATTCTCAAGTTTGCAGCAGTAGGAGTGTTCAATTTGTTCCTTTCCTGTTTCTTGTTTCTTGATCAAAGTTAATTTTTATTGGCTGATCAGATGGAATAGGAAATGGAACAAAAAAAAATCTGTAGAAATGTAACAAGAAAAACGAAAATATCAAAAATAGCTATACAACAACCACCTCAACAACAATAACAACAACAACTAAGTGTTATCTGGTTTAAAAAGTAGCTTCTACTAATAATGAAAATGGCAAAGTACTTATCCAGTTCAAATGTCAGCTTCTTCTACTAATAATGATAAACAACAACAACAAAATATTTATCCAGTTCAAAGGGTAATTCGTCTTCATCAAAACTTTTATCAAATTCATCTGAATCAGTCACTGCTTGAAATAAAATATATCTTTAAAAAACGTGTAAATTTTATTATTTAGAAATTTTTTGCTCAAAGTTGATCCTGATTTCCATTGCCTAATGACAAGGAACAGGAAACAGGATCGGAACAATTTTGAACACCCCAGTGTATAAACATTTATGCTGTTAGCAAAGTTTCTAAATTCGTGGTGTTAAATCGGTTTTCAAAGATCGTTAATTTTAGTGAAGTTTATATTATGGTAATGTTCTTAATAATAATTTTAAGGCCTATTAAATCGATAGAATTGATGTTTGAGATCTAGGTTTCATTTCTAACAGATTTTTATTTTTATTATTATTATTATTATTATTATTATTATAGAACTTTGTAGAGCAATAGAGGTTCTATTTTTATATATATTTGGAAACTTTTGCTTGGGTAAATAATCACGCGACAATATTTTGAGAGTATGCGATTTTCACGTAAATTTAAACATCCCTTAAATGAACCCAGTATTAACTGAAAACTACTAATTGATTGTAAGTTATGTAAAGAAAAATAATTGATGATGAAAGGATAGATAGTTGTGCAAAATGAATCATTTCTTTGCAACCAGATTTCCTTGGGAAAACAAGTCTCTTGGAAGAAATCGCTTAAAGGAGCCGGGAATCATATCATTTTTTACTCCAAGTTCCATTGTAAACTTGACTATACTGAAAGATATTGAGGGCCAGCAAAAAGATATGCTATACTTGATTAAATTGTAATTATTTCTGGTCTGGTTTGCAATTAGTATTCACCAAATGATTTAGAATCAGTTGATGTAATTAAAATAAAAGGATCTGTAAGAAAACCATTTAGGTATATATATGCTTACAGAAAAGGTTTGACAGGACATATGCAGTTATAAAATATAGGTTTGCGTTAAATGAATTGGATGGGTTCATTTTTATATCTGCTGATAACTTACTTTTTTGATAGTGAATTTATAGCAAGAATTACCTATTACTAACTATCTTTTTGTGTTCATTACGTGTTATGTACGCGTCAAATAAAACCAGCAGTAATCGGTTATTTCATAAACAGATTTGTTAACATGATGTTGTTGTTGTTTTTGTTGATAAGTTCCATCTGTAAGAAAACCATTTAGGTATATATATGCTTACAGAAAAGGTTTGACAGGACATATGCAGTTATAAAATATAGGTTTGCGTTAAATGAATTGGATGGGTTCATTTTTATATCTGCTGATAACTTACTTTTTTGATAGTGAATTTATAGCAAGAATTACCTATTACTAACTATCTTTTTGTGTTCATTACGTGTTATGTACGCGTCAAATAAAACCAGCAGTAATCGGTTATTTCATAAACAGATTTGTTAACATGATGTTGTTGTTGTTTTTGTTGATAAGTTCCATGGATGTTTAATGATTGGTATATACTATTAATAATATTATTGGTAGTTTATTAATAATATTTTCACCCTATTCAAGTTTCAAACTTGAATTTACCAATTATTATTCGTTTCTATTTCAAATAACTCAGAGAATACGTTTACAACAATCGCGAATTGGCCGTAAATCAAGTTGGACATTCTTTTTTTATTTCTCCAAATAATTCTTCTCGAACAATAAACCTCAGCGTTTACGTTGTAATTAGCCAAAAGGAGAGGGTATGATTTGCATACAATATAAGCATTATACTCGACTATTTTTGTCAATAAAATATGCATCTGACAGAGAGAGAAAACGACATATTTTTTTAGCTTCCTTTTTATCAACTTTGTTATTGTTGTTGTTTTCGCCGTCGTCCCATTTAGCAATTCATAGATTACAAGGTATATTTTTTTTATAAATTTCGAACACTGGCACAGTCATCGGTTATCTTTAAAAAATTGCAAAATAAACGTCAACAACCTGAAGAAAATTAGATACAAGGAAACCTACGAGAGAATCGTTTTGCTTGACATCATGATTTTGTAAGTTTCTAAATTCGTGGTGTTAAATCGGTTTTCAAAGATCGTTAATTTTAGTGAAGTTTATATTATGGTAATGTTCTTAATAATAATTTTAAGGCCTATTAAATCGATAGAATTGATGTTTGAGATCTAGGTTTCATTTCTAACAGATTTTTATTTTTATTATTATTATTATTATTATTATTATTATAGAACTTTGTAGAGCAATAGAGGTTCTATTTTTATATATATTTGGAAACTTTTGCTTGGGTAAATAATCACGCGACAATATTTTGAGAGTATGCGATTTTCACGTAAATTTAAACATCCCTTAAATGAACCCAGTATTAACTGAAAACTACTAATTGATTGTAAGTTATGTAAAGAAAAATAATTGATGATGAAAGGATAGATAGTTGTGCAAAATGAATCATTTCTTTGCAACCAGATTTCCTTGGGAAAACAAGTCTCTTGGAAGAAATCGCTTAAAGGAGCCGGGAATCATATCATTTTTTACTCCAAGTTCCATTGTAAACTTGACTATACTGAAAGATATTGAGGGCCAGCAAAAAGATATGCTATACTTGATTAAATTGTAATTATTTCTGGTCTGGTTTGCAATTAGTATTCACCAAATGATTTAGAATCAGTTGATGTAATTAAAATAAAAGGATCTGTAAGAAAACCATTTAGGTATATATATGCTTACAGAAAAGGTTTGACAGGACATATGCAGTTATAAAATATAGGTTTGCGTTAAATGAATTGGATGGGTTCATTTTTATATCTGCTGATAACTTACTTTTTTGATAGTGAATTTATAGCAAGAATTACCTATTACTAACTATCTTTTTGTGTTCATTACGTGTTATGTACGCGTCAAATAAAACCAGCAGTAATCGGTTATTTCATAAACAGATTTGTTAACATGATGTTGTTGTTGTTTTTGTTGATAAGTTCCATGGATGTTTAATGATTGGTATATACTATTAATAATATTATTGGTAGTTTATTAATAATATTTTCACCCTATTCAAGTTTCAAACTTGAATTTACCAATTATTATTCGTTTCTATTTCAAATAACTCAGAGAATACGTTTACAACAATCGCGAATTGGCCGTAAATCAAGTTGGACATTCTTTTTTTATTTCTCCAAATAATTCTTCTCGAACAATAAACCTCAGCGTTTACGTTGTAATTAGCCAAAAGGAGAGGGTATGATTTGCATACAATATAAGCATTATACTCGACTATTTTTGTCAATAAAATATGCATCTGACAGAGAGAGAAAACGACATATTTTTTTAGCTTCCTTTTTATCAACTTTGTTATTGTTGTTGTTTTCGCCGTCGTCCCATTTAGCAATTCATAGATTACAAGGTATATTTTTTTTATAAATTTCGAACACTGGCACAGTCATCGGTTATCTTTAAAAAATTGCAAAATAAACGTCAACAACCTGAAGAAAATTAGATACAAGGAAACCTACGAGAGAATCGTTTTGCTTGACATCATGATTTTGTACATTCTTCGCTTTCAGACCAAAGAAAATAAATATAGTAATGCGTATATATTAATTTTACAGTGAATGTGATAATTGACCTTTGCTCATTAGCACTAATAGGGAAGGGGAAAGTTGATGAGTTTTTGAAACATGGTATAACTTTACAAACAAACCCCATTTAAACATTACTAATATTATCAATTTATTAACATCTTTATGGATTATTTAGTGAATCTTTTTATTGAATTTGGTTCTAATAAAAAAACCTTACCATCATGAATTTAAATGGATATTCAATGGTGGTCGATATGAATATTGATATCAATATCCCAGATCTATTTTTCGAGAAAAGCTTGCATTTGTTGGAAAGATTAAAAAACAATTGGCGGTTGTAATCCAGTTGGTTACGACATCACAAATTTATTTGATCAATGCAAAGCAAGTTTTAAGATTGTTGAAGACAAATAGAAAATTCTGTTCCAAGTAAAGCTATATATCCTACAACATATTGGTTTAGGAGCAAGCAGATAAAAAAAAATTTTAATGTATTTTTTACAAATATGTAAATGCTAAAAAACAATTTTATTGTAATAATACGGAGTTATATTTGTTGGGAGATTTTTGGGGCAGGGTTAGCAATAGGCCGGGCTTATTGAAACTGATGTATTTGGTTTCTGGTCTATTGGCATTAGTAAAATATTAAATATGGCCATTATGGACCAGTCAACCCTGTTTTGAAGTGTAATAGTAAAAAGATTTGGCCATCACATAAAAAAAAATTTAATAATTTTGTTGATTAAAAAACATGCACGTAATTTTATCGGTAAGGGAAGATAGCAAAGAATAATAATACTGTATATTGATTAAGAAGATGCATTGAATATTATATAAAAAGGCTCGAGGATTTTAATTACGCTTAGTATTTTCTTGAATTAATTTGCTGATGCCATCACTTCCTTATTCGATAAATGTTCGTTTTTCCAAAATGAATTCAAGCCAATGATTTTGCACAAAGAACAATACAAATGATCAGGTTGTAAACGTGAATTATTGGGCGTGCAAGCATTACACATGACAATGAAGCCGCCACATTCCCATTCAATAAACACTCGATTTTTACTAAAGGAGTGATTTTACACAAGCTGCAAATGTGAACTATTTGGACATGCAATCATTAGTTTGCCTATGAACTAAACATTTAAAAAATTTTATATACAAAATAAAATTTTAAAAAATTAAATATTATATTAGAATATAATTAAAAATAAATTAGACTTACAAAAATATAATTAAAAATAAATAAAATGTTAAACTTATTATTATTATTAATTTAATAATTTTCTTTTGTCTCTCTTTATATGATTATGTACGATAATCAGCATTGATAGAAACATATTCATGACTAAAATCACAAGTCCACATCTTTGCCTCATCGTTACCAATTCCTAAATCAACATTGATTTCCAATTCTTCCATTTTTAAAATCTCACTTGCTCTCGCCTCATCAACATTTTCTGGTTCACCAAATGTAAGCAATTTCAAAGGTGTTGTGCCATCTGTTGGTATAAATGAAACAGAAACTTTGTTTGGTATGATGGATTGAATGCCTGAATATCCTACTGCACATAATATACGACCCCAATTTGCATCTTGTCCATATAATGCTGTTTTGACAAGTGCTGATGTTGCAATTGTCGAACATACTTTTTTTGCTTCATCATATGAATTAGCCCCCTTTGATATTATTATATATGAATTAGTAAATTAATAAATGTTTAAAAAATATTTATCCATTTACATAAAAATATATTACCTTTACATGTATAGTGACAAATTTAGTGGCACCTTCACCATCTCTAATAATCAATTGAGCCAATTCAGTTCCAAATTTAGTAAGATCATCTCTAAATTTTAGGAAATCAATACTTTGTACATCATTAACAATCAAATTTTTATCATTGACATTTGCAACAGCAGCACCATTTGCTAATACAGCAAAAGTATCATTTGTACTCATATCGCCATCAATACTAATGGAATTAAATGATCTATCAACGGCATATTTTAAAGCATTATTTAATGCTGATGCAGTGATTGGCAAGTCAGTTAGAATAGTTGCCAAAAGAGTTGCCATATTAGGATGAATCATACCAGCACCTTTGCAGATTCCTGCCATATTATATTTCAAACCAGATGAGGGCAATGTAAATTGACCAGACCTTAATTTGGGAAAAGTATCAGTTGTCATGAAAGATTTCAGCTGCCTCCATCCAACCATCATGAGTTTCAGTAGTTGCTTGTTGATAAACTTGATGGATTCCTTTTGTGATTTTATCAATTGGTAAATTTTGGCCAATAACACCTGTTGACATCACCAATGTACTAGATGGTTTTCCAGTTAATTTTGATACTTCATCAGACATGATTTTAGCATCTTCAAATCCTTTTGTACCAGTATGGTGCCAATCATCTATAGACATCAAATGCTGCGCCATTTGGTGAAATTTTTTCATGAGAATCATTCCTTTTATGGAACCGCGATTTTTTAACGCGATTTTTTTTAATTCAAATTTATTAATTTATTTCTTTACCATATACTTATTTTTTTGTTAAAAATGCCTAAACAGAGTAAAAGAAATCAACATTTACAAAAAGCACGTGAAACCAAAAAATTGAAAATTATTGAGCCTATTACAGATGAATATATTGATAAGGAGGTATTTGAAAATGAATCTAGATTAGAAATTGAAGAGTTAATATATGAAAACATTGAATCTGATGATGATTGGAGAGATTTATCTTTAACTACAGAATTAGAATCTGCATTTTCAAAATTAATTAGAATTAGCAACAAAAGTGATACTTTGGAATCTAAAGGTAGACCTCTGATATATACTGGTGCAGC